TACAATGATAATTGAGAGATGAAAAAGTAAACATTCCTCAAAAGATGGATGATCATATCTGATACTCACATTTGAACATGATTGTTGCTTCGGTCCAGTAAGTGTTCATCTTCAAATATTACTATTACAAATATTACAGTAGGCTTTACAGGGATAACACTGCTAAATACAATGATCAGACGTATTGACAAAATACTAATTTCTTGGTCTTTTCTCGATCTGATTCCGTAGAACAACAGGTATGATGTAAAGACTCTGGTGACCAGGCTTAATCTTTGGCTATTGAATTGTTGTGGTGCAAATCAGATGCTATGTGATTCATGCAAAACGTGCAGTGTTGGGGTGCCTCCAGGACCAGGGTTGGGAACCATTGCACTAGTGGATCACAACAATAAAGGACAAACAACATCTGATATGGAAATGACTCTTAATAACCCACTTCAACATCTGTCCTGTGCGCTTCTAACGTGTTCCTGCTGAATCTCTGGTGAACATGACTGAGTGTGAGCAGCAGAGCGGATCGGCTGTCTTGGGGCCGGTGGCGGTGCTGGTTGAAGACCATCGCAGTGACAGGAGTCGACCTTTAGACCCTTGATGTACGGTCATGTGACTGATGCCAGTCATTCATAATAAACATCACACATGCCCCTCGTTTCACAGGGAATGGCTTGAATGGGACACTGAAGGGCTGAAGAGAGATCTTAAAGTCATACACTGTAAAAAGTGGCAACCTGCAAGTGTTACCCTAAAGAGCTACTGCTAATTAATGTATTTAGTTGATTCAGTGATGTTAAATAGTATTTTTACTAAATGGTGTAGAAACAATTTTCACTCAAAAATTCCTAGTAAATTTTACAATTAATTACAATCAAGCAAGTAACACATTTTAGAAAGAATAATAGTAGGTCTACTTCCTTGTAAAACATACTGCAAAAATCTTGGTTTTATAAAAAAAAAAAAAAAAAAAGTTTAAAAAAATGCTGTCATTATAGTGAATTACCATAACTGTAGAGTCAGAACTATTGATTTATTTACAAATATTAATAATAAAGAAAATAAGAACTGACCAAGTAATATCCAAGAATATTTAGGCCTAAAGCTGAGATTTATATGTCTGAATTGCATTTAAAATGTCCATACCTTTGCGGTTTTAACATAATCAACTTAATATGAATCATATTTTTCAATTGTGCATGAATGAAACAGGAAAGATTTCTAATAATTCAAATGTTTTAAAATACACAGTAACCAGGTTTATATATTTATCATCAATAAATCTAAATTGTTTTAATCTCATACATACTGCTTGTATAAATATTGAATTATTTGTATTGAATACTGAATATTGCTTATTCTTCAATAATAAGCAATATTAAGTGATATTTTACCATTTTCATACTTTTTACCAGAACAAATGTCATTGTTTTCACAATCAATAGATTTATGCTGATTCTAAGCAATTTGAACAAATGCATTTTGAAAATATTATTTAAATAAAATCAAATAGATGCAAAAAATGTTAATAATAAACTATGCTATGGTTTTTCTGAGTACAGAAATCGTACCCGTTTCATTTATGTATGACTGACAAATATGCATCACAGTAAGTTTATTAGTTTATTTTAAAATGGTGTAATCCAAATGAATGGACATTTATAGGCAATTCAAATGCATAAATCTTATCTTTTTAATAGATTTTCTAATTTTTTTTTTGTTCTTTTTTTTGAGTGTGGTAAATTAGCCTAACAGTACAATTTTTATGGCTACAAAACATGAATATAGAATGTGCAATCAATCCCATGCATGCATTTATCAGCATTTAGTGAGTCAGAACTATCCGTTTTATACGACCGATTTCATAATAATGTATTCTTTAGTGCCAGTAACCTAGTTCACATATTTTCAGTGAACCCACATGCCCTTAACTCAAATTTAAACCCAGATGTGACTAAAATAATGTTCAAATATCACCCACACGCACACTCAGAGCGGTTTGCATCTAGTCTGAAAGGTTAATCACAGCGGATAGCGTCCAACAGAAAAATTAGATTTGTATTCCCAAGCAGAATGACTCATAATAAGTGATATGTTTTGTGTGTGTGTGCATGTGTGTTTCAGTGTAAACACCTGTTTTGCTCTCCGTATCCTCGGCTGATTTGGAGCTTCATTTGTACAGACCGTGGTTTAATAAATCAAAATGGAAATACAATAATATACGGGCGCAGAGCTTTTCTCGTCCAGAAAGGTCAGCTCTGAGATTAATTATACTGTGAGGAAGACCTTAATGATGGAATATTTCTCAACGACACAACCCTGCTTTTATGATCCCAATCCTAATTCACTCCAAATCTGTCCTTTTACAATTGCACATGCAGGCTTATATTTTTGTCTTTTTACATGCAGCAACTACAACCCCGATGGTGAAATATTCATTTGCAAATGAAGGAATAAATGTAATGAGGAATCCGGAAGTGACATTTAAAGGAATCATTCACCCAAAAATGAAATTTTACTCACCCTCAGGCTATCCAAGATGTAGATGAATCTATTCCTTCATCAGAACAGATTTGGAGAAATGTAGCATTGCATCACTTGCTCAGCATTGGATCCTCTGCAGTGAATGGGTGCCGTCAGAATGAGAGTCCAAACAGCTGATAAAAACATCACAATAATCCACAAGTAATCCACACCACTCCAGTCCATCAGTTAATGACTTGTGACTTTTTCATCAATTAATGACTTGTGACTTGTGATGACTTTTTCACTGGATAAAGCAATATTATGCATAGAGGACTCATATTTCAGCCTGAAGCAACAATTTGAAGTTAAAACATCTTAATAATGGATTTGTTTATAACAAACATGCAGCTTTTCACTTCTAAAGATGTTAAAATATGTGGGTGGTGATTTTGATGTGAGAGGACAACAGGGGATGTACTTTTTCACTGGGGGAAGCGTTATTATGGATTATAATTTAGCAGGAAGCAACGGTTTGAAGTTTAAAAAGCCTTAATAATAGATTTGTTTCTTACAAACATGCAGCTTTTCACTTCACAAGGCATTAACTGATGGACTGGAGTGGTGTGGATTATTGTGATGTTTTTATCAGCTGTTTGGACTCTCATTCTGACGGCACCCATTCACTGCAGAGCATCCATTGGTGAGCAAGTGATGTAATGCTAAATTTCTCCAAATCTGTTCTGATGAAGAAACAAACTCATCTACATCTTGGATGGCTTGGGGGTGAGAACATTTTCGGCAAATTTTTACTTTTGGGTGATCTATTCCTTATTTAGCCATAGCCATATTCAGCCTTTTCTCCTGAGGGGAGTTATGGGAAATGACCGCTTGTCTCTGGGACAGTGACAGCATCATCAACTACACACTTATATTTCAGCTTTAGAATGAAAAGACAAACAGGTCCTGTCTTGTCCGGTTCTCTGTCAAAATTTACATTTGCATTTATTCATTTAGCAGATGCTTTTATCCACGGCGACATTCAAATGAGGGAAAACAAGTCATTTATCATAAAGGAGCCGAAAATATTAACAATGGCGCCATAGTGGATTTCAAGAGTAATTCAAAAAAGCATCAAAGTGAAGCCACAGAAGAGAGGAAAGGATATTTTAATGGAAAAAGTGCCTTTATTTATGGTTATGAATTAGTTGAATGCACAGAAAGGATTGATAAAACAAACCTGCTTTAAATGCTCAAAAACTTTAATGCCTTTCTTTTGCAGTTGTTAGCTTCTGTGAGTTTTTAAAAAGTCTACATTTAACCCAGTTTCCTGTAAATTTTTTAATTCTCACACTAACAAAAAGTACCACATGTTTTTTTGACATGGTCTACTGTATATCAAAGTACCATAGTAGTGCCATCTGTCTCCATCATTGTTATTTTAGTATCGAGATACTATTGTAACTTTTTAAATATATAATATTCTTTTGAAATTATTATTATTATGACATTTTCTGTTTTCATTTTAATTTTAGTTAACATCCTTTTCTCCTGAGGGGAGTTATGGGAAATGACCGCTTGTCTCTGGGACAGTGACAGCATCATCAACTACACACTTATATTTCAGCTTTAGAATGAAAAGACAAACAGGTCCTGTCTTGTCCGGTTCTCTGTCAAAATTTACATTTGCATTTATTCATTTAGCAGATGCTTTTATCCACGGCGACATTCAAATGAGGGAAAACAAGTCATTTATCATAAAGGAGCCGAAAATATTAACAATGGCGCCATAGTGGATTTCAAGAGTAATTCAAAAAAGCATCAAAGTGAAGCCACAGAAGAGAGGAAAGGATATTTTAATGGAAAAAGTGCCTTTATTTATGGTTATGAATTAGTTGAATGCACAGAAAGGATTGATAAAACAAACCTGCTTTAAATGCTCAAAAACTTTAATGCCTTTCTTTTGCAGTTGTTAGCTTCTGTGAGTTTTTAAAAAGTCTACATTTAACCCAGTTTCCTGTAAATTTTTTAATTCTCACACTAACAAAAAGTACCACGTTTTTTTGACATGGTCTACTGTATATCAAAGTACCATAGTAGTACCATCTGACTCCATCATTGTTATTTTAGTATCGAGATACTATTGTAACTTTTTAAATATATAATATTCTTTTGAAATTGAGACCACACAACTAACAACTAACATAACATCTAACCACCTGTAAACAAACTCATTAGGATAAACCTGATCAGATCATATTTGGTGTCTTTGAGTTCATGAGAGAAAAATGGATGTCATGAAGAATGTCACGATGGCTATTAAACTGTGATCAGACGTTTTACACAATTTCCTTTTGGACTCATTTGAGTTATTTTAGAACTTCAAGTTAAACTAAATTTAAATGAGAAATGTTTTCTTGGCAACTAGCTGAAATAAGCTATTTTATTTAAAAAAATATTTCAGTTTAAACATTTATTTGACATTTTTATTTAAATATTAAGTAGTACAATCTAAATAGAATTTTTATGAACTTATTTAAAGTTTATTTCGGCGATCGGGCAACCTAGAAGAAAACAACACGATTATAAACCACATGCAACTAAAGTCATGCATGTATCAGTAAACAGACACAATTTGGTGTTACTGGGGGATTTTTTTTTTACCTCATGAAACTGTTGGAAGCGACTTGGCTTGGATGCGTTTTGTGCTCCACCCGTCTTGCACTGCGGCTTCTTAATGGCCTTGTGAACGGGCGTAGAGGCGACGGTCTGCATGCAGGAGAACACCACCCTGCTCAAGGTGAAGTCTCGTGATAATGAGCCCGTGGGGCGGCCAGAGTCCTGAAAGCAACAAAGATGAACATTTTTAGAACTGGAACAAAATCAAGCAATTATGATGGTTTCTATCCCTTTTGAACTACACATAAGCACACTTTCTACCAGTGTTTCTGCAGGTTTTACAAAGGTACATGCAAGACCAAGATTCTCTAAATGTCTAGGAAGCACACAAATTAGTTGCATCAGCAACACTTCAAAGTTTAAAAAATACTTTCAGATCTTTATTAGTGTATCAAAAGTAAAATCTGAAAAATTCACTCACCCTCATGTCATTCCAAACCTGTATGACTTACTTCTGTGGAACATAAAAGATGATATTTCGTAGACTGTTTGTAACCAAACAGTTTCGGGTCCCGTTATATTTTTTTGGGGACTGAAATTGGTTTAAAACGTTCAAAATATCTTCTTTTGTGTTCCGCAGAAGAACGTCATATGACTTTGTAATGATATGAGGGTGAACAAATGACAGAATTTCCTTTTTAAAAAATTTTTTTTTATGTACTTCCCCTTTAAAGTTTTAATTACAAAGCCACATGGATGAACTGGTCCGATTTTGCCGTTCTGTAAGGCTACGTTTACACGACAACGGTGTAGTCAAAAACGGAAAAGTTTTTCCCTTGCGTTTTTAAAAAGTTTCACGTATACACGACAACATTTTCAAAACGATTCGCATTTACACATATCTGTGAAAACGGCCAAAAACGCTGTATTACGTATGCCAGGCCAGTAGTTGGCGCTGTCACCTTGTTAGTACAGAACAGTACCTGTAGGGAAGTGATGGTTATATGTTGTAAAAAATAAAAAAAAGATTCCCAATGCACACAAACTTCCCAGAATACTGAGTGCCCTGTTGGTTACAGTGTTTACTTCCTTTTTTATTATATTTTTATATTAAATATTTATGAAAAATACTTTGTCATGTAAAGTATAAGTATGTTTATTTAACATCTATTTTTTAATCCATTTTCAAATTAATTTTAAAATTTCTTAAATATTAATTAAAATAAATACCAATATATCGGCCACCCTGCTTTCCAAGATATCGGCATCGGCTGTCAAAAAACCAATATCGGTCGACCACTAGTCTACATATCCAACACATACTACAAAAAAATAAAAATAAAATCTAACACGTACTACGCGCATGATGTCACCGTTTTCAAAGATTCCCGTATTGGGTGTTTACACGGAAACGATAACGGTGACGTTTTCAAAAACTTGCACTTTGAAACTTGTTTTCAAAAATATGCATAAAAAGTTTCCCGTTTTTGGCTGAAAACGTTGTTGTGTAAACGGACCCCAAGTCTCTTACCCTTAACGTTCTTTCTGCTTCTCTGCAGCGCCGAAGGGCCACCTGATCTTCACAAATGATTTTCCGCCACGTCTGGCTCACTTTTTTACAGCTGCAAAAAGACCAAAAACAGTCAGTCATTCTGATTCAGTGTGAGATACAGATCAAGCCACAGGAGAAATTAAACTAAACAGGAAGTTACCTCACTAAATCACAATCTCCCAACAGGCCCAATATCCTGGCAAGGATATGCCTCATGTCTTTCCTCAACAGGCCGCAAAGGATGTCCACAAACTGCCGTCCCATCTTCCCACCGATCACATTATGCAGCCCGTAATTCTCTGCAACCTTATCAACGACAGTCCAGTCGTAACTTTTGCTCTTTTTAAAGCTTTTAGCCAGTTCTCTGCACACCTCCTCCTGAAACTTCAACACGGGCAGACAGGGCGCAGAATGACACTCCACATCCAAGGACTGAGAGGACACACATTTCTCTTCACTCCTCTCCAGCGAGTCCGCGCCATCCACATCCCCATGATCCACCCGGCTGTTTTGTAGCGAAAGGTAGCCGCTGTCCTCAGTTAGGCCGCTACTGCTGAGAATCACCTCGTCGTCTGACGCCACCTCTAGAGAATGACGCTTATTCTGGTAGTTTTCTTTATTGTGGGGGCCTTTGCTTCTGGCCTCCATAGGAGTGGAGATGTTGGCTGCCACGGGGGAGCGCGGCGGGGCTGATTTCCGTGGCGAAACCGTGTGGCCCTTCATCTCACCGAGGTCTGTTTCAGCTTTCTCCATGTGGCATAAAATTGGTGAATCCTCACTGTAGCTTGGACACTTCATATTGAGGCTGATCCAGACACAGCAAACTAGAGGAAATGAGAAACAAGACATGTTCAAGTTTTCACAAATTGTTGACCCTGGTTATATCATTAGTAACATGAGCATTTCCCATAAATCCTCATAGGCCAGACTAATAGTTATGACATGTACTACCAGTAAATGAGTATATACTGGAATAGCATTAAATTGTTGACTCTCTTGATGTTGTACGCGTCTAACGTTACATCAATATAAAGAATTACATAATATATCAATATACATACACAAAATCCAAATTAATCCACCCACAGTTTTAGACTCAAATAAATGAACATTAGCCAGACTTCTCGTTTTAAGCATTACAACTTGGGTATTAAGACACACTGATAATACATGTCAAAATACATACTTGTTATTGCATAATACACGATGTGTTTAAATGTTACCTAGGTGATGCATTTATTTTTATGGGATTTATTTGTTTTTCATTTTGCGCGCCTAAGTGCGTGCATTCCTGACGTGGCTAAGTTACTCATGATACACCACATGCTAGCTTAAAATACAACTTAAAATCCTATGTTCTTACACGAAAATTGCTCATTTGGTTTCTTGCAATGCTTTCTCGAGTATAAATATTTACATTATATTTAACAAAAACGCAATATTAAACTTAAATCTGAGACTATCACATAAAGGGAAACGCAGCATCTAGTATTTACAGATTTAAAATCCTCTCCAAAAGTTCCTATTTTGCCGAATTTACAAAAAATAACATTAAAGCTGTTGTCTCTTACCTTTAAAATAGAAAACCACTTTTATATATTCCTCATATGTCCTTAGAAACGTGTCCTGGTCGCTATTGCAGTGGCAGCACAAGCATTTAAGTGGCAACACAATAGTCAGTGAGTTTGGAGAAAAAGCGCCACTTGCAAAAGCATTTGAAATTTGGCGACCAAACCTTCGAGCCAATCAGAGCGCAGCGGAATACCTTTAAAAGTCCCGCAGCCAATGAAAGCGCTGGGCGGACGACTCAACTGACGTCATGACGCACGTTCAACGGAGACGTCACGGTGCATAAAGAGCGCCACCTAATGAAAGGCGAGCTTCGGAAAAAAAACGCCTTTTTGAGAAAAAAAAAAGTCAATAAAGATGGACTTTAAAAGTGATTTGTTGTTGGTTTAACCGAGCCTATACATACCGAGAATTTAAAAAGCTGTAAATATTAAAATATTGAGTATGTGATTTCCAGGTCTGAAAAAGTAATATATGTAAAATGTCATATTAATAATAACTTACTAAATTGTTACTTCTTATTGTACTGCTTTAATTAAATAATTCAATAAGCATAATTTATATTTCTATACTAATATAATTTAAATCATATCAACATCACAATGTTATTATTATTATTATTATTAAATATATTAATTGCATATACATTTACGTGACAATTTATAACAATACAATAATTTATATATATATATAGAGAGAGAGAGAGAGAGAGCATACAATATTAATATTGTATATATAATATTAAATGAGAATTTAAAAAGCTGTGATTTAAAATACTGGAAATTTTAGGGAATCCTGAGTATGTGATTTCCAAGTCTGAAAAAGTAATATAAATTAGTTTATGTATGTTATACTCAGCTTAAATATTAATATTTTATGAGCTATAAACTGCTCTTTGTGAGTTAAAACACTTATGATTTTTTTAAAATCTCAAACAGCTGGAAAAGTCAAACTGGCTGAAAACAAAACGAGCACCCCACCAAAAGCATTTCACACTGCTGTGTAAAAGTTCAAGAGAAAACAAAGAGTGTTTGAGAAACTCCTCAGAGGAATAGTGAGATACACTACGCTCTTTTTCTCAGACTGTGCTTACAATTCAATCTGACACCCAAACTTTTACACATTTCTTTATTGCCGCAAATAACTACTGATTCTGATCACTGTCTTGGAGAACGTCCATAAGAGATTCCTGTTCAGAAAACTGTTGCAGAAACACAATCATCTCCTCGAGCAGTTCCTCTCCTTGTAAAAATCCATGCACGTCGTGAATGGTTTTTCCAATCCTGTGATCGGTGATCCGGTCCTGAGAGAAGTTATAAGTCCTGATTTTCTCTGATCTGCCTTTGGTGCCAATCTATTACAAGAGAAGTAAAATGCACTTTATATATACCAAATAATATCAGTAAAAACAATTATATCTGATATTAATAAAGTTAAAGTCAACCCATTTTACTAAATGCAACACATTTTCCACGTTAAACAGGATATTTAAAGAAACTAAATGAATGGCAGGAATTTACTGGATCATGAAGTTATTTCAGAGGAAGAGCAAGATTATATTTTGATAAAAGACTATAAAGGCTTTTTTAAATTTTTTATAAGGTGCACTGATAAATCATTTGCAGGGAAGTTAATTCAGAAAGTAAATAGGTTCAATGCTGATTTCATGCTTAATTAATATCATAATTTAAAAAGATTAATTAATTAATATACCTGTAGTTTTCGAGCCAGGTATCTCTTACTGGTCTCCTCCTCCAGCCGGGCGCTGTAGAGTTTGGCTCGCAGTAACGTCATGGCTGTCTCTTTGTTCTTGATCTGAGAGCGTTCCTGCTGACATTCAGCCACTGTGCCTGAAATTACAACAAAACATAGAGACGTCTCACTCCTATCTATCTATGTATCTATCTATATATGCACACACTACAGTTTGGAATAATTAAGATTTTTTAAGAATCTTATATACCTATCAAGGCTGTATTTATTTGATCAAAACTACAATAAAATGCTGAAAATTCAGCTTTGCAGCACAGGAATAAATTACATTTGAAAATATATTAAAATATAAAACAGTTATAAATTGTAATAATATTTCAAAATATTACTGTTTTTATTGTATTTATTGATCAATTAAATGCAAATGTTTTAAATGTAAAGATAGACAGACAGACAGACAGATAGATAGATAGAATGATAGACAGACAGACAGACAGATAGATAGATAGATAGATAGATAGATAGATAGATAGATAGATAGATAGATAGATAGATAGATAGATAGATAGATAGATAGATAGATAGATAGATAGATAGATAGATAGATAGATAGATAGATAGATAGATAGATAGATAGATAGATAGATAGATAGATAGATAGATAGATAGATAGATAGATAGATAGATAGATAGATAGATAGATAGATAGATAGATAGATAGATAGATAGATAGATAGATAGATAGATAGATAGATAGATAGATAGATAGATAGATAGATAGATAGATAGATAGATAGATAGATAGATAGATAGATAGATAGATAGATAGATAGATAGATAGATAGATAGATAGATAGATAGATAGATAGATAGATAGATAGATAGATAGATAGATAGATAGATAGATAGATAGATAGATAGATAGATAGATAGATAGATAGATAGATAGATAGATAGATAGATAGATAGATAGATAGATAGATAGATAGATAGATAGATAGATAGATAGATAGATAGATAGATAGATAGATAGATAGATAGATAGATAGATAGATAGATAGATAGATAGATAGATAGATAGATAGATAGATAGATAGATAGATAGATAGATAGATAGATAGATAGATAGATAGATAGATAGATAGATAGATAGATAGATAGATAGATAGATAGATAGATAGATAGATAGATAGATAGATAGATAGATAGATAGATAGATAGATAGATAGATAGATAGATAGATAGATAGATAGATAGATAGATAGATAGATAGATAGATAGATAGATAGATAGATAGATAGATAGATAGATAGATAGATAGATAGATAGATAGATAGATAGATAGATAGATAGATAGATAGATAGATAGATAGATAGATAGATAGATAGATAGATAGATAGATAGATAGATAGATAGATAGATAGATAGATAGATAGATAGATAGATAGATAGATAGATAGATAGATAGATAGATAGATAGATAGATAGATAGATAGATAGATAGATAGATAGATAGATAGATAGATAGATAGATAGATAGATAGATAGATAGATAGATAGATAGATAGATAGATAGATAGATAGATAGATAGATAGATAGATAGATAGATAGATAGATAGATAGATAGATAGATAGATAGATAGATAGATAGATAGATAGATAGATAGATAGATAGATAGATAGATAGATAGATAGATAGATAGATAGATAGATAGATAGATAGATAGATAGATAGATAGATAGATAGATAGATAGATAGATAGATAGATAGATAGATAGATAGATAGATAGATAGATAGATAGATAGATAGATAGATAGATAGATAGATAGATAGATAGATAGATAGATAGATAGATAGATAGATAGATAGATAGATAGATAGATAGATAGATAGATAGATAGATAGATAGATAGATAGATAGATAGATAGATAGATAGATAGATAGATAGATAGATAGATAGATAGATAGATAGATAGATAGATAGATAGATAGATAGATAGATAGATAGATAGATAGATAGATAGATAGATAGATAGATAGATAGATAGATAGATAGATAGATAGATAGATAGATAGATAGATAGATAGATAGATAGATAGATAGATAGATAGATAGATAGATAGATAGATAGATAGATAGATAGATAGATAGATAGATAGATAGATAGATAGATAGATAGATAGATAGATAGATAGATAGATAGATAGATAGATAGATAGATAGATAGATAGATAGATAGATAGATAGATAGATAGATAGATAGATAGATAGATAGATAGATAGATAGATAGATAGATAGATAGATAGATAGATAGATAGATAGATAGATAGATAGATAGATAGATAGATAGATAGATAGATAGATAGATAGATAGATAGATAGATAGATAGATAGATAGATAGATAGATAGATAGATAGATAGATAGATAGATAGATAGATAGATAGATAGATAGATAGATAGATAGATAGATAGATAGATAGATAGATAGATAGATAGATAGATAGATAGATAGATAGATAGATAGATAGATAGATAGATAGATAGATAGATAGATAGATAGATAGATAGATAGATAGATAGATAGATAGATAGATAGATAGATAGATAGATAGATAGATAGATAGATAGATAGATAGATAGATAGATAGATAGATAGATAGATAGATAGATAGATAGATAGATAGATAGATAGATAGATAGATAGATAGATAGATAGATAGATAGATAGATAGATAGATAGATAGATAGATAGATAGATAGATAGATAGATAGATAGATAGATAGATAGATAGATAGATAGATAGATAGATAGATAGATAGATAGATAGATAGATAGATAGATAGATAGATAGATAGATAGATAGATAGATAGATAGATAGATAGACAGACAGACAGACAGATAGATAGATAGTCTGATGTCCCGCTGACCTGTGGGCAGATGGACGATCCTCACGGCGCTGTCGGTGGTGTTGACATGCTGTCCTCCTGCTCCACTGGCTCTCTTCGTCTCCATCCTCAGATCTTTAGGATTGATGGTAAATGAGATCTGCGCGGTTTAAGAGAAAATGCAATTAGATCTAGAACCACATACACCTGAATACTGGTTTTCTAACTGAATCCTGATTCTGTTTTTAATAATAACACCTAATCTATCATCCGTTTCTAAATATCAGTTAGAGCTGAAGTTATCTGTACCTCAGTGGGCTGGGGAAGTATGGCCACCGTCATGGTGCTGGTGTGTATGCGACCTTTACTTTCTGTTTTCGGGACCCTCTGGACACGATGGACTCCAGCTTCAAACTTGAACTTTTTATAGCTGAATGGACCACTGATACTGGCGGCTGCACGTCTGATGCCCCCTAAACAAACCAAATACACCACTGGAAATGAGGATTCATAGCACATGACGACAACAAATGCAATCACTGACCCAAGCACATAT